ACGAGGCACTCATGTGTTTTGTCTCTAAGTAGGCATGTGCAAGTAGAAAAAGTCAAAAGACAGCTGCTTGCTTCTTAGGATCATATGTGCACCAGAATTTCTCCTACTTTGGGGACAGAAGCTTGGCTCTAAAGAAAAGCAAATAAGCATTGCTTTGGCATAGGACTTCAACAGTCCACCATCTGCCATTAGACATCTCTGTCATCTCCTGGAACCCAGGATCTCAGCAGCACAGCTTCAGGACCAGTATGAGTCAAGATCCCTCCATGCTGAGTACAGATGCATTAAACAGTTCCTTCCAGGTCCAAAGAAAGCCCAGAGTATTTGTACCTCCTTGGGGAAAAGTCCTGTTTCCAGCAAGAAAACCTAGATAATGGACCAGTGTTGGTGATGAATGGTTGAAAGGATTGTTTGAATTGATATAAGTAAGTGCAGCCACACATGCTGCTTAGCCTATGGTTAAACAGCTTGAGACCTCACCTTTGGTCAACTCAGGCTTATGCTGGTGATTTCCTTGCCTTAGTATCTCTTATGGGATATTCCTTCAATGGGAAGGAAGAAGGCAGCAAACCCCAGCAATGCCCCGCTGCTTCTTGGCTGCCAGTGAGAAAGGTTTAGAAGTGAAAACTACATAATAGCCTTTCTTGTCCTTTCAAAATAAGAACATGTTCTCACATGGCCTGGCTGCATTTAAATGATGTTGTAGAAGAGTGGTTCTCAATGTGGGCCATGTGGACCCCAGCAGGCTGTGCCATATTTCTAGGGGGTCACCCAAACTTAACTGCAAGGAATATGATCAGTCTGTCATAATCCTCACATTTCATTCTCTGTGCTATGAAATGAATACGCAGCAGCATAAAAACTGAAAATTACTACAGTCTGCATTACATGTCTTAGCAGCAACTGGGGGGCTGGGGGTAGGAATGTCAGAGAAATAAATGAAGCTCAAAAAGGGACCATGAGCAAAAAAACGTTGAGAAGCCCTGTTGTAGAATCTACACAGGCCTATGTGCATTTGTGGGCTTGGCATCTGACGTAACATACGCACCAAGCAGAGTCGGCTAAATAAGAATCAAAGTGATACCGCTTCCATCTTAGCTGCTCAAAAGCCCCATAGACTTATCCCTATTCTGCTTTAGAAAGCCATTGAAAACCTGGCTTTTAGTCAGGCCCAGGGCCAAGGTGATCAGACTGAGGGATGACCGAAACTGGATTTTTATGGACTTCCCCATCCCGCTGTGTAATTTTTATACCTTTGGCATTCTGGTGGTTTGCCTTCATTGAACTTTTAATGTAAGCCACCTTGAGTCTTTCTATTCGGTAGCTGTGTTAATTTATTTAATTAACTAAACAAAAGTCTCCCTGGTCCTGCATGTGGTCTCTCAATGAAAAGAGCAGAGATCTGGGACAGTCTCTCTGCACAAGCAAAGCATGCTGGGAAAGCACATTGCATGCTACTCATGTCTTCGCTTTACATCACCTCCCACTGCTCACTGCTCTGATTTGAAAGCTTGGCCCGGTGCAATTACAGAAAACCTTAAATGCAGTTTCTTTAGAAAATGGTAATTTAATTGGGAAGCTGAGAACATTACCTGGTCAATAATGAGAGTCTTTTCTCCTACAGCCTTGTGTTTACTCCCTGCCCCCATCCCCCCAAAGGGTTGTACCAGCTAATTAACTCCACTACTGAGGATGTAATAAATTCTAGAGTATCAGTCTCTGTCCTATTCTTTCTGGGCCCAAAGGAATTTCATATAAAGAGTACGATACTATTGATGTACTGTTTAGTCCCTTCCAAAAATGCTAATATGAGATTTCTTTGAACTTTTTTCCCTTTTTATATTGAAATAACAAGATCCACATTAAGGGTGTTTGAGATCCCTGCAGTTAAAATAGTGTAATTATCTCTGCTAATACTGGAACTCAGTCCTAAATCTGAATGAACTTTTTTTTAATGATGCTGTTAATACAGTCTACAAACTTCCAGTACAACAGGAATTCATAACTTAATTAGAACCAAGAGCAGGCCTCTTCTGGTTGCTGCTTGGGCATATAGCAAAAAGGAAAAATAAGCTAAACTAAGGCAATGATTACGCTGTCCAAGTGATCATCTCAGAAGTATTACTCTCTAAACTTAAGGAACATCCCCAGAGTCCCAGGTGATAAAAGTAGGTATTATTTATTGAATCCTATGTGGTAAGGAAGATGAAGAAAAGTATGTGCTCTTAGTCAGATTGATCAAAATGTGTCATCTTCTTTGGACCACTATCATACCTTCTCTGAAGTAGCTAAAGCCTGTTCATTTAATGCATGCAAACCAATTACTTCTGCTATGTTTGATACATCACAGCCTTGATTTGAGTTCAGGTAGAGAAATGAAATGTATGAACTGCTTTCATTCAAAAACATGTGGATATATTCTGCCATACTTCATGAAAGCAGCACTTTTGGAAGTTGAATGAATGATTGTGGAAATCACATCAAAATGCTGGTTGTTCATGCTATAATTCCATTGAAATCATTGAGGCAGGTTAGCCATGACTGATTTAACACCCATGTCTAATTTAATCCAAGTCCAGCACTATATGTTTCTTTCTATTGTTACAGTTACAATACAGATATCCTTATATTGACAGTATTTAAAATGCCTCATGGGAATCTAAATTAGTGGTATTCTAGTCATCCATTTTTGCTTTAATTCATTAGAATATCATTATTTTTAAGGATTAACAAAAGAGACGTATTTGAATGTAGGCTTTTCTTCAGCTTGCATATTTACATATTCTTAAGTTTTGTCGGCAAATTCATTAGTTGGATCCATAAGAAATTCAGTGTCTTAAATATAGTCAGTGTTTCTATAATGGATCTAGTGGTATTCTCAGTACAACTGGAACTGTTTTGTTTTGGAACTGGAACTGGGTTTGAAACAGATTTCCATGTGATTTTGTGTGTGAATACAGCCAAACAGGCCTGGAAATGGCTACTACTAAAATACTGTTGGGCATATTTTGCAGTTAATTGCCCTTTATATGTAAATTCAAATGTGTTTTGTACTGGAAGAAAGTGGAATTCAGGTAAAGTACAATAAAGATTGAAATTATTTTCTTTGTTGTTGTCCCAAAAGTTAATGTAATTTTAAACTTCTCCTCTCCCCCAATCATGGGGGGGGGGGGAAGTTTAAAATTAAATTAAATTTTGGGACAAAAACAAAAAAAAAAAAATTGAAAATTTTTTTTTTTTTGTTTTTCCAAAAATTTATGTAATTTTTAACCTCTCCCCCCCCCCCAACATGGGGGGGGGGGGAAGTTTAAAATTAAATTAAATTTTGGGACAAAAACAAAAAAAAAAAAATTGAAAATTTTTTTTTTTTTGTTTTTGTCCCAAAATTTAATTTAATTTTAAACTTCCCCCCCCCCCCAATCATGGGGGGGGGGGGAACCGTTGCCTTAATTTTCACTTACCCACCTGCATTTGTTATGCATTTAGCAACTGAATTAGCACATGAGGCTTTTCTGTAGGAGATATACAGGCAAGTGCGGCTATTAATCATGTTCTATTGACAGGAAAATAAAAGAAATTGGCCTGGCTGAATAGTCTTGATGACTTTAGTGGAGGCAAAATAGAAAAGAATTATGGCTTCTCTTGATTTGTGTAAGACAATCATCTGGTGCAAAGAAATCAGGCAGCTAATGAAAATGGTAACCTCAGCAGGAGGCAGCATCTAGTAACTCTGTCTGGACTTAGAAGCTAACCAGGGTTGGGCTTGGTTACTGCTTGGATGGGAGACTAAAAGAGAACCAGGCTAGATTGAAAAGTCAAAAAACATTTCAAAAAGCAGCAGTTAAAGAACTTCTGTATTATTGCCAAGAAATGAAAATCAGCAGGAGTTGAGTTCAATTCAATGGAGTCTTCACCTTTAACAAAAATGATAGCAGAAGATCAACCTATTCTTTTCAATTTAAAGAATGTATTTTCTAGAGAAGCCATTGGCAAGCTGAAACCATTCGGTGCCCCTCTGCAAGCGGGTTATGATCACAGTGGCTGAAAATTGGTAGCATGATTTTGAAGAGACTGAAATGTTTAAAAATAGGCTGTAAGCCATAAAATAGGTTTAACAGAATGCATAAAATTAAAAAAAAGAAAAGAAACCCGACCCCTATAAAACCCAGGGAAAAAAAAAGAGAAAGGCCTAGGTCTACCCATTTTGCATCATCAGCCTACCTGTTGCAGCTCTTGGTCACCTACTATCAGCCTGCAACTATCAGAAGTCTTCCCACCTCGGATCTAAAGAAATATCTCTTGTGGCCCAGAAAGGGATGTTTGGTAGCACTGCCAATGTAGTAATTGTACTTTATGCCAGAATAAAATACGAACTTACTGCAGCACAGTCTTACCTTTGCAAAGGACATGAGTGCTTTAAAGCTTCAAAAAGAGTTTCTTTATTTACACTTAACCCACACTCATCAAAGCACCTTTTTCAAATGCTTTGCCTAGCCCTGCTGCCCAGCGCAAGCTCTCTGTAACATCAGAAGGGAGAGCGCTGTGTAAGGATCTTGAAGTTGCAACAGATTGTGCAGGTACGCAGCTCACCTGATCACTGTCCTGTTATCACAAAATGTATTCTAATTAAACTTTCAAAATGAGTGCAAGTGATATGTGTGTATCTATCTCCTCTTGTTTTTACTGGTGCATTTTTCTCAGTTTTGCCTATAATAGGTAGCTTACCTTGCGCTACTCTCAATGCACGTTACCTTCTAGTAGTTGCTAGTCATTGACCTTCAAGCTTCAAGAATTTTAGTGATGTGTCTCTCTCAGATAATAATAATAATAATAATAATAATAATAATAATAATAATAATAATAATAATTTAAAAATCACATTGCCCATTCTAAATTAAGCACAGTTATCTTGTACTGCTTTTCCAGACATTTTGTTCATAAATAGGTTTCTGCTTTACTCACTGGGTGGTTTGGTTCTTTTCTTTCCTTTATTTTCCAAGGTCTTGTCTTTGGGAGCCGATGTACTGCCAGAATATAAACTCCAAACACCCCGCATCAACAAATTTACGATATTACACTACAGTCCTTTCAAAGCAGTCTGGGATTGGCTCATTTTACTGCTTGTGATCTACACTGCCATCTTCACTCCTTACTCTGCCGCGTTCCTTCTCAATGACAGCGAAGAACAGAAGAGGCGGGTGTGTGGCTATTCATGCAACCCCTTGAATATGGTAGACTTAATTGTGGATATTATGTTTATCATTGACATTCTCATAAACTTCCGAACAACATATGTCAACCAGAATGAAGAAGTGGTAAGTGACCCAGCAAGAATAGCAATTCACTACTTCAAAGGCTGGTTCCTAATTGACATGGTTGCTGCAATACCTTTTGACCTGCTGATTTTTGGATCTGGCTCTGATGAGGTAAGCTAAATAGAGCACGCAGCTTGCTTGCTTTCAAATGTATGTGTCATCCCATGTGTACATGCAACATGCTTCCCAACAGTAGATATTATGAAACATTTGCTGACTGCCATCAGGAATGCCAGCTCAGTTCAGAAATAATCCCAAAGCATGATCGCTCATCACCTTCCCACTTTGTTTGCAAGCACAAGGAAGAGAACTGAATATTCTAACTTACAGCAAATCATAGACTGCCATTTTGTCTGAGTGCTACAAACCATGATTCGCACAAAATATTCTTTTTCCCCACACCAGGGGAGCAATGTGAAGTATGCATGTGTGTGTTAATCTGTGTGACTGTTGCGTGTCTGCGTAAGAGTGTCTATTATGTGTTGGATGTTGACTGGAGAGATTCTGGTTCAGGACTCCATCAGTGCCTATCCAGGATAAAGAACTCTGTATTAAAACACTTAGACCACAACAGATGGCCTCAAATCCTCGGTCTGGGGGAAGAGGCATGTGGCAGAAGCAGCCTTGTCTTCCTTGAATGGACACTGTTATCCCTCAGGGCTCTGCAAACCTTGGATGAGGTGTTTCACTCCAATGACATTTCAGGCAACACTCTGCAATCCCCCAAGCTACTTCCCTAAGTAGCATGATTGCTTGTTCAGCATAGCACTTACCCATATTCTGGCTTTGTTGAGCACTGCTGGAGAAGACTGAGACCTCCACCCACAATGCTCACCAAAAGCAAGAATGCTTGGTCTTCTTCTGGATTTGGCAAGTAAGAGGTAGGAGAAGCTTCAAAGCAATGTCAAATGCTTCACTCAGGCAAATGGCATTTCTCCCTTCTTCAACAAAAAGAATAACTTCACCTCCAGAGTGCAGATCTCTTCTCTGAGGCAAATGTAAACTATCTTTCATAGGACTATCATCACTCTCCCAATCCTGGGTCTCACTGGGGAAGAGGGGAGCACATGCTTCCACTTTGAAGAAGTTTTTTGCTGAGGCCCAGACAGCCACTGACCTCCATCAAGGAACCTCTTGTGGTGACTCTGACTGCTCCATTAAATCAGCCATCTGAGGAAAGAGTTGCAGGGCAGGAGCACCCTTGTCATCTTGGCCTGGGCATCCATGATCATTTCCTGAATTAAGTTTTAGAGTATAGGCAAAGGTAGGGGAAGGAATCCTTTCTTGTGTTCACGCTTCCTAAGAAAGCAACATCACTGAAATAGGTTGGTACATCATCTGGGTCAAATTCAGTTTATACAGTCTGGAAAATCCTTTCCCTCTTTCCTTGTAGATGTGTGTCCAGTTATTGCTGTTATTACTTACTACCACAACTATTAGTATGGCTGCTCCATAACTTACTGTATAAGACTGATCTTTGGTGACTCTTTAAATTTCCCCTTTTTACTGCTGCTTCTTATTCTTATGTTCCTGATAAGCTTAACATTTCTATGGTAATGCCCCTATCATGAGAATGATTGTGAATATAGGTCAGCGGTATTATATCTTACTCTAATTACCACTTTAGTCATTGAGTCTTGTTTTTTTTAAAAAAAAATCCTATTATCACAAGGTCCCCCTAAAGTAAAGACCCCTGCTAACAACTTTGTCAACCAGTCTTTTTATGAAATGGCATCGCTTACAGAAGCTTCACCAGGAGGTTCTTCAAGGCTCAGAAAGTTTTGGCTTCAAGCTGTTTTTAGAAAGGCCACAAGATAATAAGCTGAATGTTGCCTGCACACTATCCGCGTAATCCTGTTTGTGTACTGGCCTGCTGAACAAGGAAGTAGGTGACGGACTATAGTTTCTTGGCATAGTTGTGGTAAGCTCCTTGGGGATTCGCTTAAAATCTCTGTTTTTAAAACATCGCGCTAGCATACAACCTGTAAAACTATGAGATTTGTGGCAAAGATATTAATGGATGCTTCCAGATGACAGTGCTTTTTTCCTGTGGTTATGCAGTATCTTTCTGCAGGAATGTGTGAATCAGTCTTAATTTGCTCTGTCTCAGCTTTTCAGGAATATGCTAACTATTCTATTCCATCAATAACTATTTTAAAAAGTGATTTAAGAAACCAGACTGAAAAATCATATTTCCTAACATTCACAACTTTCCTTAATATACAGAGTTTACTACCCAATACTCCTAAATGTAGTTTTTTTAAAACTGAAGTGCTCCTAATATATACTTTTTAAAAAGTCAGCTACCCTAATATCACTTTTCTTAATGCTAGTTTTCCAAATGTATGCTCCATCTTAAAAGCAGATTTACCACAAAAATCTTCTCTCAGGTTCTTCACTGCAGCCCATCTGTGTCTCAGCAGAGTTCACTTTGGTGGAAGATCCCAATTTACTCCCACTGAAATCTGGGACAGGTTTCTTTTACAAAAAGAAACCAAATCAGAGGTCCCTCTTAATTATTTTAGGATGAAGATTGCCATGTGCCATAAGCCAGTGTCGTAAGTCTCAAAGAGCACAAATGCAGTTTTAAAAAATTCATACAGAGTAGAACATTAAAATGGATGGTTGGTCTCAGGCAGCACGGAAAGTCATTGTGAGCAAAAAACGTGACCCAAGCATGACCCACACGGTAGACATAGCATGACCCACTTTTTATCTACAAGGAACAGTTTCTAGTGCAGATTAAGTATAGAGCCATATACCTTGGAGAATTTAGAGCCTCTTCTAGGACAGGATGGCTAAGAGGTATCAGTATTTACTAATAAATATCAGGCTGGTTGTGCGTAGCTCAGCAAGAACTTCTGCTTCCTAATAATTTAGCAGTGGCACCTGGCTGAGCTTGTCTGGGCTCAGAGACTAAAATAGGATTGGATTGGATTAATACTTGGATAGGAGACCACTAGGGGATACTATGACTCTAGGTTACACTGAGAAGTGAAAAAAAAAATCCCACAAGAAGACAATGGCAAATCACTTCTCTGCTGTTGTCAGGAGTCAAGTTTGACCTGAGAACATATTTACCTAACAGTTTAACAATATTAAATATTCCCTATCCTGTTGAAAGGGAGGGGCTAAGCAGCTATTTTCCTCCCCATTTTTTGAGAGTGGAAAGGGCTTTACCCTTTCATTTTATTTTATTTCATCACTGACTGCAATGGGATGGAAGTTCTATATAGCAGTTCCTGAGCTGGTATTTATTTCCCCATGTCAGCAGAATGAGGAGGCTATGAATCCTATGGATTCATGCCTTCTTTGGATTCCTTCCTGATGCGTTCACGTAAGGGCATGTCTTTGTCAGAAGTGGCAGTTAAATGATGTGGACCACTGAAATTTCTGCAGCAATTCGAAGGGGAAATTTTTGAGGTTGGATCTCCCTATTCAATGTTAATCCTTTTCACCCTTGAAGTAAAACACCAAAACATCCTATGGCTATTATGACACTTTCCAGTAATCATAAAATTGTAGCTTTACACCAATACAACCATGCAAAGCAATAAAAACAGCTAATTAAAATAGATGATGGAGAAAAGGAAAGCTGGCTGTGCATGAGCAAAAGCTTAACACTTAGTTAAAAAATAAGCTTTCTGAGTAAAAAGAAAACAATTAGGCTCTACATTTGGGGTTTTTTTTAATTAGAATGCATTTGTCTAAAAGCCAAATACTTAGAAAATACTTTGTAAATAAGTTTTACAATCAGACTAATACATTATCATCTCCTAATATATGCTGCACTTCAACCTAACAGCCACCATTATAAATCAGAGTAGCATCTGTATTTTGGAAATTGAAGATTAAATAGTATTAACACTCCTGGAGGCTTCAGTAATCAGAATTGAGAAGAGGATACAGGTAGTTCCTGGGTTAAAAACACCCAGTTTATGGACAACCCATAGTTAAGAATGGAGCCTATTGTAGCAAAGTTCAAATTAAATGCACAATTATTTGAGTTACATACACAATAGTTTGAGTTAATTACACAATACTACTTATACAGTATTATACAATAGTACCATTCCGGCTTACATACAAATTTGACTTAAGGACAGACCTTGGGAATGGAACTCATTCTTAAACTGGGGACTGCCTGTATCCATAGGGAGCTGGGGGAGCCCTGATCAGTCTCCTCCATGCATTCATTTTTGTCCAAATGAATTCCTGATTAAATTCTTCCCAATACAAACATGCAGAAGAACTTTCAGGAAGCACACTGAAAAAGGGACCCACATAGTAACATGCAGTTGTGTTACATGTAACATGTATATTTAGTGAGTTGGCCAGCACACTCAATGCCATCTAGGAGGTGGAGTTATCCAGGTGGATTTTTAAAAAGCTCTTAGTGCATTAGGTATCCACCAGAAACACGTGGATAGACTTTGTATAGCTAAGAGGGATTCTTGCCTTTTGAGTTAGTTCTTTAACTAACTGATTAAATAACTTGATTGATTGATTGATTGATTATATATCACAGAATCTTGAGACTCATTGTGACTTAATATAAAAAAAATTAAAAACAGAAATACAATTAAACCAGCAGCAAAATTACAACATATCTAAAACTGAAATAAATAACAATCTGTACATGCAAATTGCAGGCAATAATGAGGGGCAGGCAATAAAGGGGGAAATTGTCTTAATGACTTGGGGATGATAAGGCAGCTATCTGGAGGATAGGCAATGGGCATGGAGCTGGGTCCCTGCTGCCAGTGCACTGATCAGCTTTTTGGCGGTCAGCAGCCTAGCGCAGCAGCAACAGAGGAAGGGGATGTTAAAAAAGTATCTGCTCCAAGTATTGAATACAGTAGGTGCATCACTACATGTACATATTCAGAGATCTTTTAAATGATACAGAGAGATTAGAAATGAAGAAAATGGTAATAATCCCTGCTGACACATACATACAATTAGTTCTCTGAAGGGTGCACCAGGTTCTTCTTAATTATAATATTTATAACCTACTATTTAAACCAGTAGGTTACTGTACTTGTATAATTCAAAAGTATAAAATCAAACTTATGAATAGCATCATTTATAATTTAAAGATGACATGATAA